AGAGAGAAGAGAAAAACTTTCATTCAGAGAGACAAGTCCCAGCTCCAACTTCTTGTTTTGTGACTTTGGAAGTTACTTAAAAGCCTCTGGTTTTTCATCTGAAACATGAGGCTAGTGGATACGTCCCAGGGTGGCTGTGGGGATGAAATGACACAAAGGATGTAAAGCACCTTGTGAATGCTCAGTTCTCAATAAAGAATAATTACTGGCATTACCCTTGTTCTCCTAGTTTTAGATTCTATGTCCTGGAACCTGGTAGTTTTTACCCTTTTTGTTTGTTCATGTTTTCATTCCGTAAACTCCACTATGCGCCTGCTTTGTGTTTACCTCAGTAGCAAAGGCTGGTTCTACAAGGTTGAATAATATGCGCTCTTGACCCCAAAAAGTTTCCTTACAGTCAATGGGGAAAGAGAGATTAAAAACAGATGAATAATTACCAAACAGTGCAACCAGTGCACAAAGGTAGCAAAGGGTACTATTGAGAGTGGCTAGGGAGGGCCTCCCAGGGGAGGTGCTGGTCAAGAAGGGGCTCTGTTGAGGACCAGGAGTGAGGGGACAGCGCAGAAACCCCAATGCCGCCACAAGACTGGAGCGTGAGGTCCAGGCAAGTCAGGCAGTGCCCAGCGGGACGAGCCCCGCTGGGTCAAACTGGGGAACCTAACTTACCTGCAGAACAAAGGGTAGTTTCTAAAGGCACTCTGGGCGGCTGGGACAGGAAGATGTAAATTCAAGCTCAGTCTGGGCAACCTCACAACTTAGCAAGACTTTGTCTCAAAATGAAAAACAAACAAAAAGGACTAGGGGTGTAGCTCAGCAGGAAGGCCCTGATTTTAGCAGAGGGCACATTTACCAAGGGCAGATTTACATTTCTCATCGCTCCCTGGGGTCGGGGAGAAGACAGAGCGGAGAGGGTGAGCTGGGGGCTGGATGAGGTCCTGAGGACCCAAACGGTGCGACTGGATAAACATTTAGGAGATAGGGTTGCACTGGTGTGGGGGGGGTGAGGTGGAGAGGGAGAGCAGCAGGTGCCTAATAAATGCTTGTCAAAACGCTGGGTCTCAACCCCGACCTTCAGTAGATAATGGTGCCATTATCTAAAGGAGATTTGGAGGAACAGCTTTGAGGCAAAAGAAAAAAGAGCATGTTTACAGATGTGTTTCAGGTTGGAAGAGGATTCTCAGGCAGGTGGCTCAAGAAAGAGGGATGAGGGGCTGTAGATTTCTCAGGTGTCAGTTGAAACCTTGAGCGAGTGAGGTCCTGCAGGGTGGGTAACCGCAAAGGTAAAAGGCAACCGGTCTGGGAGAGGAGGCCAGCAGCGGGTTCACGGCAGCAGGGGGCGCACTCGGGCTGGGGGAAGTGCACCGGGAGGCTGCTGGCGCTCTCACTGCCCTGGAGTGTTCTGCCAGCTCCCGGAGTATATGGAATCTGGGGAAGATCCAGGGTTTTCTGAGGGCAGGCTAGTACCTCTGAGCGGGCAGACACAGCGGGTCAGCCGAACCTTCAGAACCCGGGCTGCGCCGGCAGTTCCTCGGGGCAAGTCCTGTCAGCTGCTCCCGAAAGGATGCTGAGCCCTCTCGACTCCTCAGACTTATACTAGCAGCTTGGCGTTGCCCATGGCAACACCCCACAGAGAGGGTCCTTACGCGAAAGACGTTCAGGGGAATAGGGAAGAAGCGCAGAGAGCTTCAGCAAACCCGGCCGGGTTGGGGTCCCCGAGGGAACCGAGGACAGCGGGAACGGGGATGAGGGGACCAGAGTCCTGACACCATCCTAATACGAAACAGACAAGCCCCAGGCTCCCGCTGACGGATCCTCAAGGGGCACCTATCAGGAACCAGGCAGACAGCACCGAGGAGAGGGCTAGGGGCAGGTGAATCAGGAGACGAGAAGGCGCGCACCACGCCCGGACAATGGTCCGGGAGTGAGACCCGCTGACTGTGCCTGAAAGGGAGCCATCAAGGACAAGAGAGAAAAACCAGCACACAAAGCCTAAGGAAGGGGCAGCAATGCGTGGGAAGGGGGCAATGGGGCGGGGGGCGGGAGTGAGTGGCAGGATCCCTGTGGAGCCTCAGCATCCGAGCGTGGTACCCGGGGGGCAGCGGGGGAGACTATGTAGCAGGCCGAAGAGCGGAGTGCAGGAGCAGGGGTGGTGCTGAGGGGCACTGACACCGAGCCGGGCGAGTCCGGGGGGCGCAACAACAAGCAACCCAGCATCAGAGCCCGCAGGCCAGCCTAGAATCAGGGCTGCGGGCAGGGCTCTGGAGGGACGATGGGGTAATGCCCCCGGTGGTTCCTAGCCCAACAGTGACACCGGCTTAAGGCTGCAGAGGCGAGGCCCACAGCTGCCCCTAGCCCCCACCCCCCCATCTCTTGTTTGTCTCCAAGTCCGGCCGGAACCGGCTTCTGCTCGCCGGGGGGCAGGGGGGTGGCTGCTGATTGGTCAAAGCCTGTTTCCAGCCCCACTCAGCCAATCAGCGGGCGGCAGTGTTTTCATCTTAAGGGCGGAATAAAAGGGCTGGAATAAAAGGGGGCAGAAAAAGCGCCGGGCGGGCCCGATACACACCAGCAAGAGCCGGGTGAGCTAGATCCCGGGGATGGGGTGGGCCTAGGCTAGGGCGTAGACGACAGAAGCTGCACGAGAAGAGGTTTAGACAGATGTGTGAATATGAGAAGAAAGTGATCGGGTGGGTAAGGAGCCGCTAGAGAAGATGACAAACAGAGCAAGGAGTTGGGGGATGGAGGAACAGGGGTCTGCTTCCATGAGAACGTGCTAATTGCCGAGGTAACAATCCAGAAAGGGGGTCGCGAGGCTGGCTCGCGCCGCCGGTTTGAACCGGCTTCGCCTCTCCCACGCGGGGTTCGCGTGGCCGCAGCGCCTAGCGACCTAGACAGTGGCCAATGGGGCGGCAGTTCCTTTGCAGTCAGGCCAATCAGCGCGCCGTGGGCGGGCCGTTCCGGGGCTCGGTGCGCTGATTTTGTGGTTGAAGAAGACAGCTCTGGGGAAGGGTCTTGAGTGCGGGCGGGAAGAAGTCTGTCAGGGTCCCTCGGAGTGACAGTTCTCAGGTATGCCCCTGCCCAGGGGCCCGTGTCTCCAGCTGCCTGCCCTCACGGCCCTCAAGCTAGCTATGTCAGTCTTGCTGGACTCCAAGACTAGTTCCAGGACCTTGAAAATGCATTCGTCCCTTCCTCCTCCCATGCCTCAGTTTACCTTGGAGGGAGCGGCGGTAGAAGTCTCTGGCCAGGACAGCTCCCTCGTAGCGGAGGGCGGCGGTGCCAGGCAGCTGCGAGGCTCGGGGTGATCCGGGTCCCAGGCGGGGCTGCGGCTTGCTTCCCTAGCTGCGTGAACCTACCTTCTGGGCCACAGAGGGGTGAGAGGCTCCGCACCCTGCGGCAGCGGCCGGGGGCGGCCGCACGGATTGGGCAGGGCGGCGCTGACGCCGAGATCTGTGCGCAGGTGGCTGTGGAGCCGGAGCCGGAGCCGGGCCGCTGTGCCGCGCCGCGCCGCGCCGCACCATGGCGCCCACCCTGGCCACTGCCCATCGGCGCCGCTGGTGGATGGCCTGCACTGCCGTACTGGAAAACCTCCTCTTCTCGGCAGTCCTCCTGGGCTGGGGGTCGCTGCTCATCATGCTCAAGTCAGAGGGCTTTTACTCCTACCTGTGTACGGAGCCAGGTGAGATGGCTACCTTGGGCTGGGGTTGGTTCCTGCAGTCCATGGTTTGGGAGAGGGCAGATTGCAGTGAAGACCTAACCATGCCCTTTCACTGCACAGTATCTCCCGGCTAGCAAAAGGCCCATTTGATCCTCACGTGGGTATGCTGGGTCCATTTCATTATCGTTGCCGCTGTTTCATGGATGAAGAAACCCAGGCTCAGGCCAGTCTTCTGCTTTTCCCAACCTGGGGACAACGATAGACCCAGAACCACATCCAGGAGTTCTGTTTCCACCAGCAGCAACATTGCCGTCCTCCTGTCTTCCCAGTGCCTGCACATCCCTTGGCTTGCGTAAACAAGTTGCTCCCTGGCTGTAAGAAAGAGGAACTCCTGATTCAGGGGCTGGTGTGCAGCAAGAGAGAGGAAGTGGCTTTGCCTCTACCCAAAGGTTTCATCTAGAATCTAGACGTTTTTCAGTCAGACCATCATGGAGTCTCGTAAGGGCTTGCCGGATACAATTTCTTGTCTATTTTTTTGCAGCTTTATGCTTCTCCAAAAGGCCATCTCCTCCCACTGGCCATGAGAACATCTCCGTGGCCTTCCAACCCCATGGGCAAGAATAGGAAGGGGGACAGTTTATGGAAATGATGCTAGGTTTGCTCCTTTTTCTCTGCCCCACCATTGGTGTAGCTGAAGGCAGTCTGTGGGTACTGTCTGTGTGAAATCTGCACCCTGACCCTGACCCTGACCCTGACCATCTCACCTTGCTACCCTAGCTGCTGCAGCTCAGTGGGTTCAGCCCAACAGTAGGGCCAGAGCAGCTACCCTCCTTAGGCAACCTGCACAGAAATACCTCCCCCTGCCCTCTCTGTCTCCAACAGTAGCTGCGGAAGTGTTGGACTCAGTCTCTCTCCCCAGTGCTTGAGTCTCTTAGATGGAGATAGCTCAGCGTTGACTTCCTGGGTCACCACCAGCTGCCTTTTCTTTCTAGAGTTCTTACTTAGCAGGAAGAGAACACTTTGGACCAGACTGCACTGTCTGTAACCCTGAGTTGAACACTCCCTGTTTCCCTTCTCTGATCTGCCAGGAAGATTCCTGAGTGTCCCAGTGTCTAAGGAGAGAGCAGGCGAGGTTATGGGCAAGGAGAAAGGGAGGGAATGGGGAGGCCACCTGGGAGAGGGCAGAAAGTCATTTATAAGCAACCTTTAACCTTTAGCCACTCAAAAAATATTTCCTAAGAGCCTAAAGGTTCTTGGCAGGCCTTTCCCCACATCAGCAAGAAATCTTGGGAGATGGGAGAGTCAGACCTTGTTCCCTGAGCAAGCTTTCTGTTTTGCTCAAGAGATGTTAGGATATTAATGACTCTTCTGGAAGGAACAGGTTAGAGTGTTTGACTCTTCCTTTTTCAGGATACGTAGAAGATTTGAAAAAGAGAAAGAAAAAATCCACTCCAAAAAAACCTTTTATAATCCCAGCACTTGGGAGGCTGAGGCAGGAGGATCACTGCAAGTTAGAGGCCGGCCTGAGCTACATAGTGAGTTCAAAGCCAGCCTGAGCTACATAGTGAGTTCAAAGCCTCCCCTACATGGGGAGACCCTGTCTCCAAAAGACAGAACAAACAAGGCTTTTAATACTGTATCTCATCAAGACCAAAGGACTGCTGTGGTCAGATCTCTCTCTGTCTCTGTCTCTCTGACTGGGGTGTCAAGAAGGCCAGATTCTAAGTTTTTTTTTTTTTTGATCCACTGATATAATTTATTGTATGATATTGCAGTGTGAGGCTGGTCACTTCACTCCTGCTGCAACCTTGGCTTCTTCCTTCCTTCCAGTGGGAGGAGCCCCAGAGATTATGCCAGCACAGTGCTGAGTTGGTATTTGAGCCCTTGACAGCCTTCACAGGTCACTCCTACAAACCACAGAGAAGGTAAAGGGTCAGGATTGTAGATTGAACATCAACTCCTTATCCATGTCTTTGCTCTTCCATCTGATTTGGGGTTTTTTGATTACCCGGCAAACCCGCTGACCCAGCATCCTTGGCGGGAAAGCCTGCAGATTCCACCACACAGGTTATCTACCTGGACTCCCTGCTCCTTGCTTTTTGGAGTCCATGTGACCTGTTGTCTTTCAGAGCCAGAAACCCCTGGGTTGCGCTTGGCTGGGAGGGCTTGGCAGAATTAGGGTCAGGGTTTCCGGTTAGGCCTACCGTTTCCCAACTTGGTGAGTGGCTGGATTGAAGAGAACCAGTCAGGTCATTTACTGACTTTACTGAATTAGACATTTCAGGGGGTGACTCGTGTACAGCTGACTGAGATGCAGGTTTCTCAGCTTTTTGTTGCTTGAGTTCATTTTCTAAGGAAAATTACTCAAATCTGCTGAAAGGTTCCGGAACTCTGTGTCGAAGTTCCAGCCAGACTCCGGCTACAGATGCAGGGTTGGGTTCTAGCCTGGGGCAGAGGGGCAGAGAGTGAAGGAAACATCTCATCCCTCTGTTGTCCCTCAGCTCGTTTTGCCTCGCCCATGGGATGGTCAGGAGAAGTGACAAGACTGGGGCGGAGCATTTGATGAGGTTTGTGTGGTAGCCGTGAGACGTTGGCAGCTGGAGCCCTCCTTAGCCCCCCTGGTGTGGCTAAGACAGCAGTTAGGTTTCCAGGCCGGGAAGAACAGGGCTTTCCAGGGCTTCAGGCTTTTGGCCTCTAGATGGCCACTGTGGCCACCCATACTTGACATCTATCTTCATTTTTTCTGTAACTCAGTAGCTCATCTAGACAGAGCTCTGGATGGTGTAGCAGTGGAGGGTCAATTTCGTCGTTCATCTCACCCACACATTCAGTTAAGTTCATCTCACCCACACATTCAGTTAAGTTCATCTCACCCACACATTCACTGAGGTGCGGTACCAACAAGTCATCACTCACAGATTCTCTGGAGCACAGGGTGCTGGACCAGCAGTGGGGATCCGGCTGTGACTGGCTGGGAGGTCTCTGGTATTTAAGCAGAGGCCTGCAGGGTGGGTTGGGGGAAGTCAGGAGGGGTGAGGGCAAGGCCGCCCTGGAGGAGAGGGCAGAAGGGCAGGCACCACAGATGACCAGGGCGGTGAGAGGGGCCCAGGTGTGCAGGGCCCAGGAGCCCCCTTGAGGAGACTGGATTTTATTCCCAAGGCAGGAAGATGTCGTGGAGGGAAAGGAGGGCCATGACCTAGTTCACCTCTTGCAAGGCTCTAGGATTCATGAGGGCTCGCCACATGCTGGGGTTACGTGGGATGCAGGCTTTGAAGGTGAAAATCTTCATGACCTCTGCTAGAGGAAGCCATAGCTTAGCCACAGACATGACGGCAGACGCCAGATCTGTGCTCTTGACCACTGCAGTCACTCTGCCTCGGTGGTGGGGAGCATTCCTCTTTCCCTGACGGGGGAAGCTGCCCCTGCGACCCTGAGAGGGCAGAGGGGCTGCCATCCTTCAGGGAAGCAGGACCAACTGCAGTCCCTGCCAGGCTGCATCTGTGGACGTGAGAATCCCAGCTGTTGTAGGGTCTCCCTTTTTTTTTTTTTTTTTTTTTTTTTTTTTCTCTGGTACCGGGAACCAAACTCACGACCTTGCGCTTGCCAGGAAGGCGCTTTTGCCGCTGAGCTAAATCCCCAGCCGGCTCTCCCTTTTTATGGGTGCCTTCTACACCCGCAGGCTGATAGTTGACACTTTTCAAAAATCCAACCTTTTACTTTTATGGCTGTGCCTATGACCGTTTTTACTTCTTTTTATGCTGTTTGCTTATTTTTCTGGTGCTGAGGATTGAACCCAGAGCCTTGCACGTACCAGGCAAGCATGCTGTCACTGAGCTAAGCCTCGGCCCACCTCCCGTTTATTTTGCATTTTTAAAATTCCATAGGAAAGCCGGGCATGGTGGCGAATGCCTGTAATCCCAGCACTTGGGAGGCTGAGGAAGCAGGATCACTGTGAGTTCAAGGCCAGCCTGAACTACATAGGGAGACCCTGTCTCAAAAATTAAATTAAATTAGAATTAAATTTTTAAAACATTCCATAGGAACAAGTAAGATAGCTGAAGGCTGTTGCCATGGCCTCAGGATGTCACAGAGAAGAACTAGAGCCCTTGGCTGTCCCTGTCAGCCCTGCCTAATTTCCCTCCCTTGTGTCCCTTAGCCTGCTGTAGCTTCTTGGTGTCTCATGAAGCTTCTATCTGGCCCGGGCTGGCTCCGAGGGCCCCTGTGGGAGAGTCACGGAGCAGCTCCTTCTCCGGGGGTGATATTGCCCGATGCTGTGTGCCAGCTCTGTCCCAGCTGCATTCTCTTAGCATTTTCTCTGAGACACAGCCTGCTCCTAAGCCAGGAGGGCAGCACCAGCGCAGCGCAAAGGTTGCAAGCAGCTGCTTTGGGCTCTCACAGTCTGGATTCAAGTCCAGCTCCCTATGAAAGCTTCGGCAGCAACGTACCTGCTCTGAAACTCCCAGGATTGTCGTGTGGCATGTGAGGCAGAGTGGAAGGGGGCTGGACACCGTGGAACGCAGTGGCCAGCACACACAGGCACTCCGCAGAAGGTGGCTGCTGCTGCTGCTGCTGCTGCTGCTGCAACTGCAGCGAGGGACCCAGCCCTCCGGCTGTGTGTGTCCTGCCTCTTGTTTGCTCTGCGGTTGAGCCGACCTCTCACCCACATCTCCCCTGCGGGACTGGGATGCTGCTTCCTGTTGCCGGATAGCCTCAGGATTGGGGAGAGGCGATCCCAGGGCAGGTACCCTCAGCAGGGCCAGGCAGGGGTCCACACCCTGGTGGAAAGCGAGCGCTGAGAGGATCTTGCCAGCCTTGGGGTGTGATGTGCTCCCCGACTCCCTCCAGCTGCATCTGGGTGCTGTGGTGGAGGCTCCCCACTGTCTTTGTTTCCCTGGAGTAGAGGGAGACCCCTCTTTGACCCAGGGAGGCTCAGGGGAACCCGAGTGGGTTCACCAGCACCCTCTTTCCCAGGCTGCTTTCTCTGTGAAGATTTTGTTTGTGAGTCTTCTGAGTGGGGCCCGACAGTGCAGACCATTGTTCCCTGTTCGCTGGCCCTGGGTCGCCTAAGTAGCCTGTTGTTCTCGGCATGCCCTGGCTACCCCAGTTCCTTGCTTGTCTTGGTTTATTTTCACTGGCCAGGCTGTTCTGGCCGCCCACTGCGGAGGCATCTGTTTAATAAACAGGTGCAGGTGAGGCGCCGAGCAGGCTGGGCTGGGTGAAGGCTGAGCTCTAAGCTGGGAGCAGAGAGACACCTTGGGCCTTGGCACTTCTTGGATGCTTATCTGGGTGTTTTGTTTTGTTTTGTTTTGTTCTTTGTTTTTGAGACAGAGTCTCACCATGTAGTCCAGGCTGGTCTTGAACTCACTTTATAGCCCACAGTGGCCTCAAACTTAGGGTGATCTTCCTGCCTCAGCCTCCCAAGTGCTGGGATCACAGGTGTGCACCACCACCCTCACCCTCACCCTCACCCCACCCTCTCCACCCCCGCTATGGGTGGTTATGTGTTTGTGTCTTCCCTGGCCCACCACAGCCCAGGTGTGAAGGTTTCTGGGTCTCTGCTGGTACTGCAGTTATTCAGGCGGGCTGTTTATTGCCAGCATAGCTTCTGGGCTCACCAAAGTTTAATTCCCTCCAGGAGTGAAGGACACTCTCAGATTGCTTCGTGGGCAGACAAGAGAAACCAGTCAGTGCCCCCAGCCTGTCTGTTGCTGGACATCCCTGGCCGGAGGCAGGAGAGCAGAAGGCTAGGTGGCTCCTTGGCAAGAATTTTTTTAGGGAGAGAAGTGTGCTCGCCTGAAGTGTAGGTCCCTGGTCCTGGATGCAGAGGCTCCAGGATGAAAAGGGGGAAGGGCACGGATACGTCTGCCTGCACCCCCAGCCCTCTCCTCGCAGGCCCCTTGTCCAGTTGCACGGGTGACCAGATCAGTAGGCGAGTTGTTTCCACTCTTATGCCCATTTCTGGCATATAGGGAGATTCCCTTGGTGTGTGTGTGCTGTGCTGGGAATGGAACCCAGGGCCTCACATGCTAGGCAGGTGCTCTGCCCCAGCCATTCCCTTGGGATCTTCTCTTGAGTGTCATGGTGAGAGAGGACATGGACTCAGGGCTCCAGCTGTGGTTCCTCTTAGGGGGACTCTGCTCGAGGCAGTGCTGCCCTGCCTCTCACGCTTGGTCCTCCTGCTGCTCGCCGCAGCCGCACAGCCTCCGGCACCCTAAGCCCTGAGCTTTCTCTTCTTCCCCATGGAGTCCGTGGAGCGTGTAGTAACTGGTCCAGACCCTACATGGCCGCGATCAGGTCTCACAGGCCGGCGCCCACGCTGTCACATCTGTGCTGGTTTGCTCCTATCCGCACGTCAGCCTGCAGCTGGTCCTTGCCGGGTGGTGGCCCCGGCCCCCACCACAGATCCAGTTCCTGTTGCTGCTGGCAGAGCTGACACCTGAAACCAGCACACGGTGCTGCCTTTCCAGGAGCCTGGCCCCCAGCACAGGAGCCCGTGGCCTGGCCCTGCCAGCCCCGGCGGCACCCGGCAGTGTTTTGAGCTGCATCCTGACAGGCTCAGAGGATCCTGTTTGCCACGTGCCTGGCCATGAGTGTGATGGTTTCTTTCAGAAAACAGAGAAAGTGGCAGGGCCGGGAATGGCTGAGGAGGTTTTGTGTCTGTGGTTTGAGGCAGTTAACCTTGTGGCTGTAACCTCCCTCAATCTTCTCTGTGTTAAACTTGGTTCTGCTCCTCCTGTTTCTTTTCCCCTCTTGATCCTTTAGGCTGTTGAGATCCGGTTTCATTGTTTTCATTCATTCAGTAAACAGCTCCTGTGGCCAGGGCCTGGAAAGGTACTGGGACACAGAGGTAACCCGAACGCGGTCCCTGCCCGCGGGGCTCACAGCCCAGTGGGAGACGAGACACGTATCATGCCAGCCGCACGCAGTTACAGACCGCTGCTCCCTCTCACTGCCCGGCACTGCTGCTGCCCACTGCACTGTTCCCTCCACCCTAAGCCTCCAGTAGTAGAAATAATAACGATCACTTTCAGCTGTTATTTATTGAGCACGTTCTATGCCTGTGTGAGCGCTAGAATGTTAGCTGGATTTTCTCATTGATCTAGAGGTGAATACTATTATTATATTATGTCCCTTTTACAGATAAGGAAGTAAAGCAAGATCAAGTCACTTCCCCAAGAGTATACAACTAGGAAATAGAGAAACCAAAATTGGAACCCAGAGGCCCGGTTCCAGCACCACAGCCTCATTAAGCCCCAGCAGGGCGCATTGGTCAGAGGTAGATGCGTAGCGTGACTCGGCCCGGGTGCTTCCGTTGCAGACGAGATGGGGCGCGTTCAGCGTGGTATGGCTGTAGACAGGGTGCTTCCGTTTCGGTGACGTTGGGACAGCCCTGAGAGGCGAGGCAGCCTTTGCAGACCTCAGCGTTGCAGACCTCAGATTTACAGCCCTGGCGCCAGAGCTGCAATTGGGAGGCAGGCGGTTATCTGAGGAAGAGCTTCTCCTTGACTCTTCATTGTAACCTCGCGTCTAATCAGTCTGCCCTGTTTCTGCACGATTAGTCAGCATCTCTTAACTAGCAGTCTGGCGAGGAGAGTTCCTCAGCCACTTTCCCACAGGCCCGCACCCTCCTACCATCACCCGCCACAGTGCTTTTTCTTCCCTTTTGGTGTTGTTTCAGTGCTGGTGGACCTTGGAGGAGGCCCTTCAGGGCTGAAATCACAGCGGGTGTGGTCACCACATCAGGCTCAGGGGCTCAGCGGCAGCAGCTGGGCCTGGGTGTGGTTATGGGGACAGTAACACAATGACCCCAGAGAGGAAACTAAGAAAGGGGCAGCTTGCCGGGCGTGGTGGCACATGCCTGTAATCGCAGTACTGGGGAGGCTGAGGCAGGAGGATTGTTGCAAGTTTGAGACCAGCCTGGGCTACAAAGTGAGCTCAA